CGTGAATGCAGCTCTTACCCTGTTCCTTTTACAGCTTATTGCAGAGGGCAGCTGGGGCTTGGGTCAATTGTTTCCCCAGTTCTTCCCCTGAGAGTTAATGCCAGTGATAAACACACAAGGTCAACCTACCAAAAACATCCCCAAAGCTCATTTCTAAAGAAGTGCCACGCATAGATGTTCTACTTGGACCCTGACACACGGGAGCGAGAGGGAGGAGTTGCCACAGCCACTGGAATTTTGGACACAGAAGAATCGAATCTGCTTTGCTTTGAAGCGTGTGTCAGTAGGAGGCAAGATCATCGTACCTCCCCAGTCTGCAAAGAGGCAGGTCCCTGAGTGGCACATGGGGTGCGTAGGTTTGTGTTCACCTCTGAACCTAAACACGGGTTGCTCGAGCCTGCCCAGTGGCCTGGGCGCTGCTTTTGTAAAGATCCAGCAAGGACGCACTGGGCCTTCCTTTCTGCTCTGACCCTGGCCGGTCATGCGTGTGACTCACCTCACTAGCAGCGGGTTTGGGTGGGGTTTTCTGTACTTAGAGGGGGGATGGAAAAGAAGGCAAGTCTGGAGAACCCGCGGTACCTCTCCTAGAACCTACGTTTCTCCAGCTCCTTGGAGCTCGGCGACCCCCTAGGCCATTGACCTGTAGGTGGGCTTTTGAACCGTGAGCTTTGAAGAAACTGGTTTCATAAAGTCATCTATGAATCAAATAACAACTATAAAATTTGCCAGGAAGTAGTTCAGACAATGTTGCGTCAGGGGCCTCTTTTGGAAAATTATCCAGGTGTGGACAGTTGGGAGAAAGTGGAACAGAAGCTAGGTTCTGGGGGTAGATAGTTATTATGGAAATACTGTTGGGACCCCCATTTTCATGCCATTGCTGATAATATGTGCTCTAAGAAATACAGACGTCAGACTTCCCTGGCAGGAGAGACCATGATCACGAAGGTGGTTTTCCCAGGGCGAGGTTTATCCATTGCACTCTGGTTGTGCTGACCCCTGCGATTTCCCCGGATGTGGGAAACCCGACTGCTTAATTTGTGGTAGTGGGGGACTGCGTTCACATGCTCCAACCCCCCCCCTAAAAAACCCCCAGACATTCTCATCTTCAGAACATTTTTTATGCAAGTGGGCTAAGCTTTGGGCTGCTAACCAAAAGGTCCGTGGTACAAACCCACCAAGCTCCCGTCAGGAGAAAAGCGAGGCTGTTCACGCCGGAAAGAGTCGTGTCTTGGAAACCCTGTGGAGCACCCCTCCTCTGTCCCGCTGGGTCCCTGAGTCAGAAGCGCCTCTACGGCAGTGCGGTTAATGCTTCCAGGAGACAAAGTAAGTTAGGACCAGGAAACGTGCAAAGACCTGGGATTAGGAAGCCAAAAGCATGTCTCAGGCTTAAAGAAGAAAAGAATTCAAGTATGAAGTTACAGTATAAAATGATTTTATGTTGAGGTAGGAAGCATCAAAAGAAACTGAATACACTGTCACTGTATTAAAAACAACAACAGTCACCCATTGCCGGAGGTAGCATATGATCAAGAACCAAGATGTCTATGTTGCCGTGAAAGCATCAATGACAAGAGCAAACCAAACCTACTGAACTCAAGTTGGAAGAGGCGAGCCCAGTCTCAGAATGGAGGGTGGTGAGCCGAAGGACCCGAGCAGTTGCCAAAAGGGTCCATTGGTGGTCTGAGCTTGGAAACCAGAGATGACAGTTGAAGAGAGCATTTCAAGAAGCGGGGCACACTGCACGGACGGTGTGGCGATGAGCGACCATCGAGCAAAACGTTCCAGGCACTTTGGTTTTGTGACCTCCTCTGTGTTGAAGTGCCAGGGGTGCCCGGCCATGCCAGGCTGACGGGCGTGTGACGGAAGCAGGGAGAGTTGTTTCAAGAGAGGATGCTGCAAAGCCTGGTGCCCCGGTAACAGTGAAGAAAGAAACCATTGGTGGTGTAAAAGGAGACACAGAAGCCTGTCGTTTGAGAAATTACTTGGGAAAGTATAGTGAGAGTGAGCCCGTGGAAGTCCTCGAGGGCAGGCAGAGTGGGGGAAAGAGAGGATTTGCTTTTGTAAGTTTTGATGATCATGATACAGTTGATAAAACTGTTGTTCAGAAATACCACACTGTTAATGGGCATAATGATGAAGCGGACAAGGCCCTTTCAAAGTAAGAGATGCAGTCTGCTGGATCACAGGAG